CTTTTCTCTCTTTATTTTATTTGACATTTTACATAATTGATTTGGCCATTTGGGTTACATGGGTTATAAATGAGATTGAAAATCATAATGGACCAATTTGCCATTCTCTTCCCACCGAAAATTTACCATATTTGTTTTTCTTTCTTTCTAGTTATAGTGTTGGTTTTTTTCTTATCAAGCTTTCCATTTTTTAGCATCTCTGTTTGAGTGACATTTGGGGGTACATGGGTTATAGCTGGGGTTTTCATGGAAACAGCCGCTCTACTCTTTTTGGTAGAGGTTAGGTTTGTGTTACCCCCCCGGAACAAAAAAAAAGATGACCCTACCTTCGGGTGAAATATATTGGGCTTGTTTGGTTTTTCCCCCTACCAAGTGGAGTTAATCATCATATCCAGAATAGTTGGTTTACACATTGTGTTTATGCCTTTTTCCCCCAACAGATGCAAATGCCAAATGCTAGGTCAAATCAGGAGATGACCGCTCCCCAACCTTGGGCACCTCCTCCAAGTTTTCCTATAAATGCAGGTGGTGGGCCTGGATATCGACCTACCCAATATATTCCTGCTCAACATCAGTATGACAGTTACTATCCACGAGTAGACATGCCTCCACCAATGGATAAACAGCCTCGTCAAGCTCCACCTTCCTACGGCAGAGAGCCACTTGCGGGACCACCTCACACTGCAAGCATGCAGCCACAACAGTCAATAGTCACAAAGGTGCTCCTTTCTTCGATTTCTGTATTTCTGAAACAAATTTTGATCAGTTCTATTCTCAGTTTTCTGAGGGGCTGTTTTTTTTCCATTAGGTCCTATATGGATAAAGTTGTCAGTATAGATTGTAAATGTTTTTGTTTGGGACGGTTTTCCATATATGGAAGGAGCTTGTTTTTTAATTGGGAGGGACAGGTTTAAAAGGAAAAAATTTGGCTTACTTAATGAAGCTCCCCCTAGAAGCTTACGGAAGAAGCCACTTTCTATATCATTGAGCGACTACCAAACAGTCATGTATAGCTGAGCAAATAAGCTGTGAGTCCCATTAAGCTCATTAAGTTGCTAACAGACAGGCCCTAAGATCGACTGCCAAGATTATTATTGCAAGATGATTTTAACCAACTTACTTCATAGTTCTAGATAGTGTGGAAGCATTACTGATAAATTTTCTTCCCAATGAGCTTCTTTATTTGAGTGCAACTTGATTGGGGAGTTAAGACGAAAAAAGATAATAGTTTTTAGAGTAATTTATGTTTTCCATCCCTGTTGTTTGTTAAAATTTGCGATTTTCGTCCCCATGGTTTAGAAATTATGGTTTTCTTCTCTATGGTTTGTAATTTTTTGCTATTTTTGTTCTTATGATTTACAATTTATTGTTGTTTCTGTCCCTATGGTTACAATTCTTTACTGTTTTGGTTCTTTGTGCTTAAAGGTAGGAATTAGTCTAGGACGATCATAGCAATAAATTGCAAACTGTAGGGACTAAAATCGCAATTTCTAAACCACCAGGGACCAAAAAAAGTCAAATATGGTCTCATTTTTTGGGACAGAGTGTGTACTTGCTTTTTAGTTGACTAGCAAAGTAAATTAATTGCATTTGCTAATGTATAGGTTTCGCAGAACATGCAAGTTCCTCTTACATATGCAGATGCTGTTATTGGCACATCGGGAACCAATATCAGTTATATCCGACGTGCCAGTGGTGCTACTATTGCAATACAGGAATCAAGGGGCAATCCTGATGAAATGACTGTTGAGATAAATGGATCAGCTTCACAAGTTCAGACTGCTCAACAGTTAATACAGGTATATCCGACGTGCCAGTGGTGCTACTTCTGATACACATAACTTGATGAAATATCCTATGAAATGCACTAATGACGTACAAATCATGTTATATTTTCAGAACATGGTTAGCCTATATACCAATAACCTCACAAATGCGTTTTGAACAACCTCACCTTTTTGTTTGGCAACTGTGGTTTCCGTACTTTTGGCCAACCAAGTTCACAGGGTCCAAGTCCAGTATCATGTGCATTTCAAACCGGAGATTGGTGCAAGAGGTTTGAACCTAGGGGCTGCTTACCGGGTCATTTAACCTTGCCTAATGAACATGACTAGGGCCCCTTAGGGGTTGGTTGGTTGGTTGTTCTTTAAGTTTTGTATGGATAAAGTTGACTGTGTGGATTAGTTTGTCTATATAGATTGGGAAGGTTTTTGTTTGGGAGGGTTTTTTCATAGTTGGGTGTTTATAATTGGAAGAGGCAGATTTGGAAAAAACTTGGCTTTCTAATAAAGCTTAAACCTAAAAGCTCATTGAATAAGCCACTTTATAATTGACCTAATAAGCGGTGAGTCTCCTTAAGCCATTAAGCTGCTAACAGACCCTTAGTGTCTCACTATTTACCTGTATGTGTTAATAGAAATATCGTCTTTTAGGTCTTTTGATGTTTTGATCTGTTTGTGGTTGATTCAGAATTTCATTGCGGATGCTGCTGCGACAACGGCAGCTCAGAATCCAATTGCTCCACCTTCTAGCCAAGGGTATAACCCGTATCCTGGTCACATTCCTAGCTACCCGTCTCAGCCACCCCCACCTGGCCATGCACCTGCAGCCGGAGACTATGGCAGTGCCGTCTATGGAGGTAATTATGGCTACTAAAGTCTAAAGATGCTATTAGAGAGATGATGATACTTTTCTCTAGAAATATTTGACCACTTGTGATTGATATAATACTGAATACAAGAGAGTGTGCTTGTTCTATTCTTGTGTCTTAGATTATGTAATATGTGCTTTGAATGATGGGTTCTGTTTGCTAGTATCGTGGGCTTTGCTTCATCGAGCCTATCTGATAGGGTGCACTTGGTTCTCCTGAACTGCACAGGACAGTGTTGAGTTGAGATGCACAAGGTCTAGGCTTTTCGCCCCTTGGCTTGGGCCTTCCGAGCCCTTTTTCAGTGAAAAAAGGTCCTAGGATTTTTTAGGCCCAGGGCTTAGTGGGCCAGGCTTTGGGTTAAAAAGGGTTTGGTCGGGATTTTTCAGTCTGGGCTTCTCCAGGATTTGTCGTGATGGGACTTTCAAGCCCGTTTTCAGTGAAAAATGTTCCGGGCTATTTTAGGACCAGGGTGGATTGGGCCAGGCTTTGGGGTTAAAAAGGGTCCAATCGGGTTTTTCAGACTGGGCTTTCTATGTTTTTATTGGACTGGGCCTAGGTCTGGGTCTACCCCCAACATATTGGGCTTTGAGGCCTCACCTGGACCGGGCTTGGGCTGGGGCTTGAGTTTTTTTGTGCATCTGTGCTCTGTAGTCTGTAGGACAGAGGCAGAGTGAGGTGGGCTGCGTGGTATTTGTTCATGGTGGGTCAGAGAAAAAAGCTGCAATTTTAAAAAAGTTAATGGGTAAAATGCAGTAAAGTTTTCAAGAAACTTTTTCCTATAATAATGTTCAAAAAATTTCTATTTAATACGATATTATAATTGAAAACTTGTAGATCTTGTAATATTTGATGACTTAGGGGCTGTTTATCTAAATGCTTACCCGGTAAGTGCTTATCTATAGAAGTCAACACTATAATTTATTTTGATGAATAAGATTTTAGTACATCAAAACGTGTTGAATGCAATAATTTACTGGGTAAGTGCTTATCTGGGTAAGAGTAGTAATCTTCACTTACCGGGTAAGACTTCATGTTTTTTATCGCTCTTAACCAGTAAGATTTTTGACCCTTGTCATGTACATCCGATAAGAAAATTTATCCGATAAGCACTTACCAAGTAAGCGTTTAGTAAATAGGCCCTTAGATACCTGTTTTTGAAAGGCTTATGACCAAGTAGGTGAGACTTCCCGTTTACGTCATGAGAAGTTAAAAGATTAGGAAGTTATAGATCAAAATAAGTAAAAGATAGAAAATTTTGCACCTTTTATCACATCGATTGAGGAAAAAAATCATTTGTTATGTTACATAAAAAGCCGAAACGGGTTTGGTTTGTTTTAAGGTTCTAAATGGAATGTGTATGACGGTAAGACCAAACCTTGAGCCTTAAAATTCATGACGATGTTACAACGTTTTTCAAGACATGATTTTTGATGACGAAGCTTCATATGGTGTGTGTGTGTGTATATATATATATATAATTATGTTTTCTACTGTTACTCAATGAGTTAATAACAATTTAAATTAGGTTATGCACATAGAGAGATGTTCAAATACAAACAAGTACACAAACCAATCAATTCAAAAATTTATGGAGACGATAAAGATTCATTTATTATAATTTGAATATTTATGAAAAATAATTAAAGTTTATTATTTATGATCAAACACTTTATATTATAAAACAGTCAAAATATTTATAAAACCACATTTGTTAAACAAAATTGAACGGTAGAGATTATTTTGTCTAGTTTATAACAATGTATTGGTTTGTATAATAAACCACATCTCTCTATATATGACGAAGGATTGTGTGAGAATGAACGTTAAGATGAGAAGTGTGATAAGAGATTTGAACCCTTGATCGTCTTTAATCTCAAACTCACCCATCAATCGCGTTCGATACAGGGATTGATCCGGTGCATCTCGTCCTAATATGCATCCAAGGGAGGAGATCCATTTTTACGCTTCTTACCTTAACTCTCCTTCTTATCGGAACTCAACCCCTCTCTCTCTATATACATATGCATATGCATATACATATACATATACATTATACATATACATATACGGGTTGGGTTGCAGTGAGAAGTGTAAAAAAAGATCTCCAGCCTTGGATGCACATTATAATGAGATACACCGGATCAATACTTATATCAAGCGTGATTCATAGGTGAGTTTGAGATTACAGATGAACAATGGTTCAGATCTATTCTTACACTTATCATCTTAACTCTCCTGACATGATCATTCATATATATATATATATATATGTGTGTGTTTTTTTTTATATAACTAACAAGATATTGAAGATGTAAAAAGAATCCGATATCGCGTTATAAAAACTGTGCAATAGACCATGACATATTGACATGCCACATATTTTAACATGACGTGAGACACAAGTCTTGATCTCAGGCTTTTACAACACTGATGACACTACATAAATATGACAGGAAGATGAGAGCTCGACTCCATACATTTTTTGAAACCTTAAATGCAAAATATACACCGATTATTTGATGAAAACATAAGCAATGTTCTTATCAAAACTCACCTTCACCTACATACCCGACTCGAATACAACCTTCAATATGTTTGTTTCATATCGGAGCCGAACACGTAGTTCGGAAATGTCCCGTCTGGTTACACCGACTACAATGCACGATCCGTTTCACCGAACTCCGGTCCTCCGATCGAACCCTCCTCTTTCTCGGCCTTCCCGGCGGTCTAATCGATTTCGGAGGGTTGATGATTATCTCCGTAACCATACTTGATTCACCTCCGTTCGACATTTCTTTCCATAACGTCTTGTCGGGGATCGGATGTATCGTTTGTGAGTACGCTTTCCGGTACGTTGCTACCGTGAAACAACTCTCGGTAAACCGATGGACGTTTTGTCGGCAAGAGAGTAGAGCCGCTACGGCGTGGGCGCAAGGGAGGCCGTAAAGTTGCCATCCCCGACACAAACACCGCCGGTTTCGGATGTCGACAATGTTAGTTCCTTCGTGTGATATGACTTCGAATTCGGCTTCGTTTGCTCTAAGAACCTGATAAGTTCGTGCACGATCAATGGCCTCGGAGACGCGCCGCTCGGCGGTCGGAACGAGAATGGAAGTCCATTGCATGCTGGTTTCGCGTCGTTCGTTGAACCACATCATTAGTTGCCGACGAATACACTCCATCATTTGAATTATTGGGAGCCCGGATGCCTCGAGGATCCAAACGTTTAAAGATTCAACAATATTAGCCGTCAGGTGACCGAAGCGGGTCCCTTCGAAATATGCCGTAGCCCATAAACGGGCGGGAACCCGTCGGATCCAATAAGCGGCTTCTTGAGATATCTCTTCGATTTCGAGGATTTTTGTTTCAAAATCCAGGACGGTGAGTGCATTGGCTGCATCCCAAAGAAGGTTGACCAGCATCGTGTTGTTGAACTCCTTTCGGAAGCTTTCGCTAAGATGGCGCATACAAAAGCCATGGAAAGCTGTCGGGAAGTTGGCTTCAACTCCATCGACGATATTCTTCTGCCGGTCGGATAAAATCGTAAGCATCGGCATGTTTTCCGTGTTGATTTCCAGCAAATTATGGAGCTCGGAAAGGAACCACATCCAGTTTTCTTCGTTTTCCTCATCAACCACCCCGAACGCCAACGGAAACAGAGCACCATCTCCATCAAAACCTGTAGCGAAAAGAAGGGTTCCAAGATACTTGCTTTTCAAAACGGTTCTGTCGAGCCCAATCAGTGGTCTACAAGCGTTCAGGAACCCGTGAATTGAAGCTTGAAAAGAGATAAAAAGCCGCTGGAAACAGTTATCTTCGGGGTTCACATAAACTGATGCGATACTTTCTGGATTTGTACGTCTAATTTGGTCGCAATACTGGGGCAAAAGACGGTAATCTTCTTCAAACGATCCACGAAGAGCTGCCATGATCCGTTCTTTCCCTCTCCAGGCTTGTTTGTACGATAACGTAATCCCATGAACACGATGAATCTCTTCTAGTATCTCCTTTGGTTTACATTGCGGGTTTTCCTTCAAACGTTGCTCTACAGTATTTGCAACCCAATCAACCGAAGCCTGCTGATGACCAAGATGAGCGATTCCACCACAGTTGTGTTCGGCATGGATGGTCCTAATTGTGAAGGTCGGTACACCCGGTAGCTTAGCGGCATGGATCCTCCACGGGCAACCTTCACTTGCACATTTAGCGGTAAAACGCGTTTTATCAGACTTGACGGTTTGTATCTCGAAATGAAGAGCGATTGCGGTGTGCCTTAGTGCCCTACGGCAGCTTGCAACATCTGGGAATTCTTGACCGACCATTAATTCGTAGTTTGGAGGAGGAGCGGTTCGACTTTGGATTACTGGAGTAGTGAGGACGAGCTCATGAGGGGTGTGGAAAGATAGAGGAACCACACCCATATCAGAGCTCGGGTGCACCACAAGCTCGTGATTCTCTACAACCGCCAAATCATGATCGTTGGATAGACCAAGATTGTGACAATGATCAGAAAGAACCAACTGAGAATCAGGATTGGTGACCCCTTCTTCACCGATACCAGGATCCACATCTTCGGATCCTACATTCCCATCATCGTATCTATTATCGTGTTGATTGTTATCATCAAACTCGGTAGCATCTTCATTACCATGATTATGTGGATGTGACATGGTTGCCATCTCATGGTCCAAAAGCAGTTCATGATCATGATGATGTCCCAAACTTATATGCTGATTACCGTTCTCTCCTAATTCGGTTTCGTGTTTGAGGGTCTGTCCCAATTCGACATTATGATTCTGTCTGACCACCAAATTCTGTCCATGCCTTAATCCTAGCTGTTGGTTCTGAACAAATGGTATATCTGGCCGTTGGCCTACGATCATCTCATGGTTTTCCATGATATCGTACCCACGATGCTCTTAGCAGAGTCGTGAATTCTGAAAGACAAGAAACATCAATCTATGAAAAAACAGTTGAATAAACCTGTTCCAACTAAGTCATGTTTACGAAACAAGATACGAAAGAAAAGATTTTTATCTGCGTTCTTGAAAGGGAAGGAAAGGAATGGAAAGGAAACTATTTTTCATGTTCTTGAACCAAAGAGAAAAGAAAGATCTCATTTTTACAAATATACCTTTTATATTTGTTTTTCTCACGTTTCGTTATGAGGAGGGTGCTTTAGTCATAAAATATCAGACTCCTTTCGGATTTTCTTTCCTTCCCACATATGGGAGGAAACATAAATGATATATTCCCTCCTATTCCTTTCCTTTCCCTCCTAAAAAATTTTAGAAAATTTGTTTTCCCTCCTTTCCTTTCTTTTCCTTGAAAAAGGTTTCAAGAACACAGTGCAAGACTCACACTAATCTATACATATATCAATCACAAAATAACATGCATCAATCAACTATAGAATATTGACATATAAGAAAACAATGGACCGTCTTTGACCTGTATTCATCATGGATTCTTTAGAAATGCTAAGACACTCAACTTAGATTAGCCCGGAATGTACTATTAACATAATAGTCCCCACCAACTAAATCAAACCAACTTCTCTATCAATGTGGCCAGATAACTTAATCGCATAAACTTAACAATAACCAAGTATCAACTACATTAACTTCAAATGACAAACATGAAATTTCAAAACGGATTGTGAAACTTTTCACTCTAAATTGGAAACTCTATTGAATTATTTAACAAGTGCTAAAAGTAAGACACCAATAATGCCAGATTAGAGCAAAATCGATAGAAATTTTGACACCACTAGGTTTCACAGTCAAAAAATAAAACTGTTTTTACTTATCCAAATAACTTGCTGAGTATTTAGTATCCTTGAATCAGAAATTGACATTTTGAAGGTTAAAGGATGATTGGTTAGGGGGTAATAAGGAGTGGGAAAGGAAAATGGAAATCCTTAATGATGTCTGGTCTGATACAATGGAATGAGTCATTACCAGATACCAAATAAGGAAGTATTCCTCAACAAACTAGAGGAATAACTCATTCCTATTTCCGTTCCCCCATAATTTGCATTCCCAAATCAAGCATCCCTAACATTCATATTGAAAAACAAAAACACAAGATATGTGAATAGAGCAACAAGCAGTCATCAGAAAGTAGAATAAAAAACCATTACTCACCAAGCCTCAACAGATCCAGCGATAAACAAAAAAACAATTTTGCACCTCAAAACAGAGGTCCCAGGTGTTAAGATCTGCAAAACCATCACTCTTTTTACTCATCCTAAGTACTTAGCTTCATCGAATCAAAAATTTACGTCTTGAAGTTTAACATCCATATGCAAAAACATGAATTGAGCAACAAGCGGTCATCTGAAAGCAGAACCATGATCAAACTCACCGTCAACGGATCCAACAAAACCCCAATTCTGCCAGGTTCCAACTTCCAAGCGCTAAAAGCTTCAAAAATCTGCAAAATTTAGAGAAAAATCAAATCAATTTTTGATTTAACAATCACTAGGTTTCAACGAAACAAAATCAGACTGTTTTCACTCATCCTAAGTATTTAGTCTCCACGAATTAAAAAAAAATTACATCTTGAAGATTAACATCCATACGGGAAAAAAACGAAAATACAGATACGTTAATAGAGCAACAAGCGGTCATCTGAAAGCAAAACCGAAATCAAACTCACCGCCAACGGATCCAGCAACAGCAAAACCTCAATTCCGCCAGGTTCCAAAGAGCTAAAAGCTACAAAAATCTGCAAAATCAGAGCAAATTGAAAACAAAATTTGATTTAACCACCACTGGGTTTCACCATAATAAAAATCAGACTGTTTTCACTCATCCTAAGTATTTAGTCTCCACGAATCAAAAAGTTTACATCTTTGAAGATTAACATCCATACGAAAATTAACAAAACGACAATACAAACACGTTAATAGAGCAACAAACGGTCATCCAAAAGCAGAACCAAAATCAAACTCACCTACAACCGATCCAGCAACAACAGAACCCCAATTTCGCCAGGTTCCAAGAGCTACAAGCTTCCAAAATCTGCCAAACAAAATAAGAGAGATGAACAAAATCGAAATCGAAATCAACGATGGATTTGATTCAAATTTCTGTTTGAATGAAGTTGAAATTGGCGGGGGAAGTGAGAGTGAAAATACCTGAAAGAGGGGCGAGGGGTAGCGATGGGGAAACACAGAGAAAATTAGGATTTGGAAGGGCAACAAGGGCACAAAGGAAAAACGAAGACAAGGAGGGGTATGGATGGTCTTTTTAGGGCTTTCCTTTTATCCACACAAAGAGGGCAATTAGGTCATCTAAGCTATTTTTCCCCCTTCATTTTTTATTCGTTTCCTATTTTACCCCCTATCGTTGGTAATTAGTCTCAAATTATTAATTAGTTATATAATTAATGGTTTGTACTTAATTATATCCTTATATTAATTATGTTGTTTTTGTCTGATTTCATTTAAATAGTTTATTCTAAATTGTGAGAACAGTCGAAATATCAGCGTTCATTGTTTTTTCTGTTGAAGATATATATTTGAACCGACATTACAAATTATTTATATTAGAAGAGTACTCGTGCAATGCAGCGAAATACATCTACATTTTAATGTTTCGTTTTATTTTTTGTCTCTGTTGGTACAACACGATTTATGTGGTTTTGAGAAAGATAATGTTTTTACTTTTTGAATAAAAATAAATTTGAAGACATCATAAAATTTTGAAAAATATATCGATATTAAAATCAAATTAACTGTTTAAAAGTTCTCATTTTTTTTGTACAATTTCTTTAATTCAATTTTTTATTATAATTTAATTTAGGTCAAACAATGAATAATTTGTTTTTGGCTTAATAATAAAAAATTTATAAATATAATGATTATCCTAATTATATTTTAGATTTTTTATATTTAAAATGAGATATTTATCCTATATTTGATTATATTTATCTGCAGTTAGTTATACGAATTCAAAAGCTGAGCTTTAATAAGTTGTACTTACGCATAATTTACTTGTAATATTAAATTTTAAGTAATATGCATTGATACACACCACTTCATGCATAAATAATGTTTTTTAAGAATTTTTGTCATAATGCTTTATAATATAGGTTTATATATGCATTTTCAGATGAAATTCTTTAATGATTCACATATGAATTTCTCTTTTTACCTTCTCACAATATTTATTCTTTCTTATTTAAGGCATCCATTATTAGAAAACTCAATAAAAAACGGACCAAAGGGTCTTTGGTTGGGCGAATTAAATTTGTTGTATATAAATATTATATAATTAAAAAACATAATGAAAACAGATAGGTTTTTGTATATTCATAACAATCTTTCTAGTAAAATATGGTATTTCTTGTTCATAAAACCAAGAAAACCAGTATATTTCATCTGATAACCAGTATATTTCATCCAACAACCAGTATATTTCATCTGTTTCAAAAGACAAAACGACTATTTTCGAGAAAACCCCGAACCCAAACTTTCAAAAACAGAAATCAAACAACAGAAATGAAAAGAAAAATCTGAACCACTTTAAGATAAACATCAAAACTCATGTGTTCTACACCAAAATATAGCAGCAAGCATTAGCTCAACCACCAAAAGCACCATAAAACACATCAAATCTCATAATTTCTAAGATCTCCAGTTGCTGATCTAAACAATTAAACATACAAAAATCAATAAAAACGTGAGTATAATCGATAATAAATCGAGGGAACTCTTCAAGACGAGAATATCCCATCTGCTAATCGAACCTCAAGCTTATGCAGAACCTCGTTAACGACCTTTTGGAGCGTTTCGTGTTTGGAAAACCCGTTCTTGATTCTGTTTGCTGTTGTTTTCGAGAGAATTGTAATGTCCTCTTTGCTCGAGTTTTCGTCGAGTAACGTGTTCCAAAAGTTGTCGTCTTCGTTGAGGTTCGATTCCTTAATCAATTCCACGACTTTTTGCAAATTTGCAACATTCCTCCCGGCCCCACAACCTGTCGCGGTGGCTGCACCCACGGCATTGGCGATCGTTAACGTGTGAACCAATGGCATATTGTGTATGTAGCCGAATGCAATTGCAGCCACATAGCTGTCTCCACATCCAACGGTGTCCATGACATTTACCTGTCGAAAATGATTGGTCAAGTATCGTTATCATAGACTACCTACAAATGACTATAGAGTTGATGGATAACCGACAAAAGGGAAAGGTCAAATGAGAATCGTAAATATTTTGAGAACCAACTAGTTTATGAGGTATTTTATGATTAAGAGGGGGTTCTGGGGAAAACTCCTAAAAAATGAAAAATTGAGGAGCGCCCTAGTAACCATTCGTCTGAATGGTATGCACATATGCATAAAAGTAGTTGAAGTTGTTTCTTTGTTTTTATGCACGTGTGCATGTTATGCACGTGTACATACCAGACAAATTGCTTACAACCTACTTGTATGCACATATGCATACCGTCTACATGAATGTTTACCAGAGTGCTCCTCAGTTTTTCATTTTTTTTTGCGGTTTTCCCCTGAACCTGACCCTATGCACACCGTCCACATGAACTGTTACCAGGGTGTTCCTCAGTTTTTCAATTTTTTGCGATTTTCCCTTGAACCTGGCCCATATATATAGGATCAGGTTCAGAGGAAAACCGCAAAAAAATAAAAAAAACTGAGGAACACTCGGTAACCGTTCATCCGGACGGTACGCACATGTGCATAAAAGTCATTCATAAGCAATTTGTTAGGTATGCATATGCACATGTGCATAAAAACCAAGAAACAACTTCAATTACTTGTATGCACATGTGCATACCATCTAGATGAATGGTTATCAGGGTGTTCCTCAATTTTTCATTTTCTGGTGTTTTTCCTGAACCCCCCTCTCTTATATATATACACACACACACACATAAGTGAAGGGTCACGTGAGAAAAAGAGTTAAAGGCGAGAAGCGTAAGAAAAGATCTGAACTCTTGATCACTTTTAATCTCAGGTGCACCCATGAATTGCGCTTTAGAAGGGAATTGATCTGGCGCACCTCATTAGTGTTGACATTCAATTAGGTTGATCCAAGGGTGGAGATCTCTTCTTACGCTTCTCACCGTAACTTCCTTTCTCAGTAGAACCCAACCCTATATATACGTATGGGGAGGTTCATTTAGGAACATTAAATATTTTAGGAACTCAAGAACCTCCTATTTTGCAATTCATCATGAATATCTGTCACGACAATCATCATTAATATTTTGTTTCATTATTCATCATGAATACTCGCCAAAAGGATGGTTCCTGGGTTTTTAAAATATTTAAGACTTCTAAATGAACATCTCTCTCTATATATATATTATGCAAGGACTTGGTAATAGTATGCAAACACTCTCTATATGCAAAACAAAATTGAATGGAACCATTTACACCCCTAGTTTAATTACCGGTTTGTTTTCCTTCAACAACTAGGCAATTTATTTCTTGAATATACCAGCACTTATATTAACTGCTATTATTCTGGAGGAGCTTTCATTTTCAGTTCAATCAACATTGGGTTCTATCCTTGTTGATTGTTACTTCAATGTTGATGCAACTAGTTTACAAAGAATTGTTGATTTAGCAACAGCGGATATATATATCCGGAGAGCAAATTATCCAAATTGTGTTTTAAAACATGCATTTTAGGTGGTGCCCTCGTTAAAGTGCATGTCTTAAAACATAATTTGGCCACTACTAGGCAAATTTTATGCATGGTAAGATGTTTTATTCCCTTGCATATATTTACACACGTATAGGGAAAAATGGTTGACCCAAACTAGAACCATGATAGATGTTGTCTGAGAATTTTTCCTGATTGTTATCTTCAGGGCCCCATGAGATTAGTCGAGGTACCAGTAACTATGTAAGTTGGCCTAGATAATGTCCACAATGAAAAAGACATACAGTTTTTGAAATGTATAATTATTACACTTCTTTGAAAAAATAAATGGCAATTTACTCTTAATAATAAAGTGAGTGATGAATTTTCCCATTTTGTAATTATTAAGGGTAAAATTGGAAAGTAGACACTTTTGAAAGTGGACCATGCCGAACCAATAAACTTTGATTCCATAATTTTCAAACCGTACAGAACCATAAAACTTGTCGACCATGCCGAACCAATAAACTATGATTCGGTTTGGTTCCTTGGTTGAAATATAGTAAAAACTAGGATAATTTCTTTATTATTTCAAAATATGCGTATCGCAATGATCCATCTTTTGCCCGATTAAGGAAAATTCAGGAGTAGTTACATAGGAGCAGCAATGGATATTTGGTTTAGAGGAAGGCGAAAGTTGATTAGAAGATTTATGGTGTCTTTTAGGAGTATATACAAATGGTAGATCAATAGTTGACCTTATTTAGATGAATAAGGGCTTGTTTGTTAGCAACTTAATGAGCTTAATGGGATTCACAGCTTATTCGATTAGCTATATATGACTGTTTGGTAGTGACTTAATGATATAGAGAGTCGCTTATTCAGTAAGCTTTTAGGGGGGAGCTTTACGTAGAATGTCAAGTTTTTTTCCAAACCTGTCCCTCCAAATAAAAAACACACTCCTTGCATTTATGGAAAAACCCTCCCAAATAAAAAAACACTTCCCCAGACCACACTCTTACTTGGTTAACAATTACCCATTGTGTTGGTAACCGACCCTCAATTCAAAAATACATTCATAAATAATAAAAATCATGAAGAATAATATTCATGAATATGTTACGGTTTTTATGAACATGTGCATATGCATACCGAACAAATTGCTTACAAATGACTCGTATGCACATGTGCATACTGTCCAGATGAACGGTTACTGGGGTGTTCCTCGGTTTTTTATTTTTTTGCGGCTTTAGCATGGTTATGCCAACCATAGCCAACATGATTGTGGTTTTCTGTACTAAAACTACATCATTTTGTTGAAAATTATACATTCTTTCGCATCTCTCCCGATCAATAGCTATCATGGTTAAGGTTTGCGGAAACCATCTTTCCCCTATATGTGTGCATACATATACAAGGAACAAAAACATATTGCACAAAATTTAGGGGTGTAGTTGCCAAATTATGCTTTTAAGACATGCACTTTAATGTAGGCTCACCTAAAGCGCATGTTTTAGCACAATGCGTAAATACTGAGCAAATTTTATGCCATAACTGCTAACAGTACACTCCCTCTCTCTCTCTCTCTATATATATATATGTATAGATATAGCATATTCCATATATACGCCTAAAAAACAGCACAAGGCCATAAACATTACCTTGAATGAAGGTGCACAAGATATCCCCAATCTGGTGATTAGAATAGAGCCCTTAGATCCCATTTTTATGATCACCCATTTTGTGCGGAGTCCGTTACTAAGCAACTCCTTTCCGGCTGCTATAGGGTTCCCCAAGCCAGTCAATAATTCAGCCTGGTACAACATAAGCTAATAACTGAAAATTTTCAACAAGAAATCAGACCAATAATGCAAAATCTAGCGAATCAGAAAACCAAAAATGCATCCACAACGGTTATAGCAAATAAAGGCTAGGCCTTAAGGCTCCTCCCCATAGGTTGCTAGTTCGAGTCTCCTCAGGGCCACTAGGATGTTCCTAGCTGTTATCTTCAAGGGCCCTTGGGATTAGTCAAGGTGCCTGTAATCTGCCTGGACATCCATTGGTTGAAAAATGTACACTGGAATCGAACTTAAATACATGTGTAACAGTTCGTGTCAACGAAAAGACTTGCACTTTATAAGAGATTGGAATAGGAAGTAAGGGTCTGAAAATATTTTATAGATGTGGCTAGGGGCGGATTCAGTAATAGCGTATGGGGTCCCCGTGCCCCGCTCTATCCTCCCGATGCAATGGAAATAAAAATTAGGGGTTTATAAAAGTAGCACCCATGACACGTTTTTATTTGATGTGTGCTCCCCTATGTTAACAGACAGTGGCTGCAGATTGGTAGTGTTATTGCATGTGGCATTACAGGTTGCAAGTGCTAATCCTTTTGGCTCTTTTTTAACTTTTTGGTATTAGCGGCAGAAAAGAAGAAAAAAAGAGAAAAAACCACTTGGGTGTTGCAAAAAACCACTTGTATGTCATTCTTAATTAACTTGTACTTTTTGTAATTAATTTTTCATTTTATTTATACTATGGTTGATTATTTTATGCCCCTCGGGAAGTTTTTTGCTCGCCTCTGTATGTGGCTGATAGGAGTTGATGATTCTAGAGTCTGTTAGCAACTTAATGAGCCTAATGGGACTTCAGCTTATTTGGTTAGCTATACATGATTCTTTGGTAGTGGCTTAATAACATAGACAGTGGTTTATTCAGTAAGCTTCTAGGGGGAGCTTTATACAGGAAGCCAAGTTTTTCCAAACCTGCCCTTCCCAATTATGGAACATGTTCATTCCATCTAGGAAAAAACTCTCCCAAACAAAAACCTTCTCAATCTATACAGACAAATTAATCCATACAGACAACTTTATCTTACATGACTTAATGGAAAACCAACCAAACAGCCCGTTAAGGCTATCATAGCAGAGAATAAATTTCTTGGATTCACATATTACTGCAAACAATAAGACCAATATTATACCAAAGCTTAACGATTCTCGTTAACAGGAAAAAGTAGAAAACTTCAATTGGAAAAAGATCTGAAGCAAACCTCCTCCGAAGTTAGAAGAAGAACATCACTCAACCTCAACAACTTGGCAAGTGCTTCTTGTTCTTCAGGTGTACCAACAGCAAGAGACTTCCCCTTTGGTCCAGGGTCGAAAAAAATAGAAGTTCCAACTTCAACAGCATATTCCAGGGCAGAGGCAATCACATTTGCAGGAAGCTCATCAAATCCATATCCATTACAGAAAAGGACTTTTGAGTTTTGGATATTCATTTTCACCTCATCAGATAACTTACTCATCCAAGCAAATGCAGGCTCCTTGCTAAAATCTGCTCGGCTAGTAAATAAATCATTTTCAAAGACTGATGAACTAAACCAAACCAAACCAAACCAATCGAGCCCAGTATATCCCACCCGTTAGCAGAGGTGGACCCATAAAAAAATTTAAATTTTTGGCACAATTTGACTGTAAAAAGATCTATAGAAAATTTTCACGATATTAGTATAGATCTGTTAGTTGGTTCCTGCACAAAGGAATGGTGTTCGAGTCCTGTCTACAAATCTTTTTAAGAACACAAGAGGTATATAAAAGAAGCACCAAAATTTAAGCTAAAGATTAAGAAATTTGCCAAGAATGGGACTCGGAGCCGGGCCTTTTGTACAAAGGCGGCAACATTTACCAACTCCACCATTAAAGACTTGTGCCAAGAGTTCAGTTTCAAGAAATATAAGGGCACCAAACAAAACAATACAATGGCACCCTTCAGAAACATAATTATTTTCCATTATGATGGAACCATGAAGTAGTGGCCCTTCCCACCATAGAAGAGTTTCAATTTTTGGCACCATTTGTCTATAAGAAAGAAATATGCAGAAATCTTTCATAAAATCACTACAGATTTGTTGGTTGGTTACTTGCCCTTGCCCGAATAGATCCCACGTTCGAATCTAGCAATGGCCTTGTCTTTCAATTTTTTTTAAAACAGCTATAGAAAATAACACAAAAATTAAGCTAAAAAGTAAAAAAAAAAAAATGCAGGGCTCGAACCTGCTCCCTTTGGACAAAAGGGCAGCACGCTAACCATCTCTGCCATCAAGAACTTTTGCCATTTCTGTAGTTTCAAAAAATATAAGGGCACCCAACGAAACAATACAGTGGCACCCTTCAGAAACGTAATTTTTTTCATTACGATGGAACCATGAAGTGGTGGCATGTGCCACTGTATACTCTTAACTATGTGCGCCCCTGGCCTGGAGGTGGGGTTGGGGGTAAGATGTAGGCACCTCACCTCTACCCGAAACAGGTGGGGTCAAAGATTGATATATCCTATTTCCCAAAGTTGGTACTCCTAAAAATAGACCAACTTAAACTCGAACGAACCTTTAATTAATCACTTGTACCTGCAAAACCCGTGTCTTTGCAACGGATCGACCAAGACCCAACATAAAAGGGTCTCGTATGCATTACTCGAACTGTTGTTAAAATCCTCCTCTTCTCTCATCTTGATCACATTAATCCCCTCATCATGAAGCACGTCCAATAGAAATTGTCCATAAATTTCATCACCAACATGACCAATCGCAATACAACGAAGTCCCAATCTAGCTGCTGCTATAGCCATGTTGCAGTTACCACCAGCTTCCCAGTATTTCTATAAGCAAAACCAAATAATTGAAGCCCTAAAGTAAGAAATGTTGATATATGAAGATGTTGTAAAATGTAGAACTTAAACAATTGGGACTGTTGTCCGCAGCTTAATGAGCTTAATGAGACTCGCAGCTTATTCGGTCAACTACATTGGTAGTGACTTGATGACATAGAAATTGGCTTATTTGGTAAGCTTCTAGGGGAGCTTTATGCAGAAAGCCAAGTTTTTTCCAAACCTGCTCTTCTCAATTAAAAAACCTGCTCATTCCATCATGAAAAGACCAAACAGCCCCATGCTTGGTTTTCCATGTCGTATGGATAAAGCTATTTATATAGATTGAAAAGGTTCTTGTTTCAGATGGTTTGTTAATAGACGGGAGGTGGTGTGTTCTTTAATTGGGAGGGGGGTTTGGAAAAAAATTGGCTTTCATCAATCATCATAAACCTCCCCTCTAAGAGCTTACTTTCTATATCACAAGCCACTACCAAACAGTTGTATATAATGCACCGAATAAGCTATGAGTCTTATTAAGCCACTAACAAACAGGGTTGATACCCAAATCAAACATTCAAATTGCACGAGTAATTAAATCGAAGAAAAGGAGAAAGAAAATCTAATAGGGACCTTATCAGGAGGCGATTTAGAAAGCTGTTCCATGTAATCTTTACGTTCATCGAAGGAAGATGGCGGCAAATTGGGGACGTTAAGCACGACATCAACGCATAGGTTTCCAAGGGTGGCGACATCGAATTCTTTCTCGCCGGAGAATTTGAAGGATGAAAGACGGCGATGCTCGGAAACAGAAACCTCTACTCCATAACTTTTGCAATTTACAGGAACACGAGTCCTAATTGCATGATTAAAGCGACTGTAGCAGTTGGTATTGAGGTGGGAAATTCTTAATCTAGGGTTTTGGAAGAATAATGGGCAAGAATTAGAGAATCCATAATTGGGCGTGGGACTGTGGGAATTGAGGATTAAGGTTTGCTGATGCATTAATGGAGGATCAAATTGAAAGATTATGGAGGAAGATTAGTACCGATACTGATTATTTGTTTGTTTGTGAAGCAAAACCATGAAAGGGGGAAACAGAGAGAATCCAATTTGATGTTTTGGGCTGATTCGGAGAGATGGTGATAGAAATTGGGACCTTCGATTGACTGATTGATGATCCTGCCCCCAAAATCTTTCTTGGAAATTTGTGGGGATTTTTTCGTCCAACACTTTTTTGGGGAAGATTTTAGGGTTCTTGAAATCCAAAGGGACTGCTTCTTTTTTGATCAAATTTTCCATTAAATATGTTGTAGAAATATGCGGTTTGTTTATTTGTGTCACACATAATGTAAAATTTATATATATTGTTTAATTGTGATTATATCAACCAAATATAAAGAGGTTTTTAGATATTGTGATTTTTGTATTTATTGTTTAGAGGTTATGGTTTTTATTTATTGTTATTTTCGTTGTTATGATTTATGATTTATAGTTGTTTCGGTCCTGGTTCCTGTTAAATTTATGGACAAATTATAAATTATAAGAATGAAAATCACAATTTCTAACCATAGGGACGAAAATCGAAATTATTAACAAACCACAAGTAGCAAGGATACGGGACGGGGATGAGGCGGGTTTTGTAATTCTCGGCCCCGGCCCCGTTTTTAGTAACAGCCATTGGCCTCGGCCCCAGTCCTCAGGCAAACCCCATGAAAAACATCTGTTAGTTTGAGTCTACCCGGGATTCTCGGCCCCAACCCCGGTTTGAGTAACAACCCCCGACCCTGGTTTGAGTCTACTAGGGATCCTGGGCCTCGAGTAGTGATGGTCAAATCGGCCCGGACCGGAACCGGGGCCGGCGAGAAACCAGTTATGGGACCGGGACCGGCGGTTTCGTCCAGTTACACTTTTTGTCAGTTTTGTAGGATCGAGACCGGGACCGGTTATGGGACCCGTTTTAGCGGGGAATCTTTGTCCCCCGTTCAGGTCGGGTGAACCGGGTTCCTCACCGACTTGGAATAAATCACCATCCTTAACCACAAGTAGTTTACTCATTGTCAAAGAAGAAATAGACATAAATATTTAGAGTTATTTATGTAGTAAATCGTCTTTCATATTTATTATCATCTATATGCAATCGTTCTTGTTTAAAGGACTTATGATTAATAAGGATTTATAACATTTTGATTTTCGTTATCTTTTAACAATAAGCATTTTCTATTATTTTCATATTTAAGAGTATTCATTGAAAAACAATGTAAAAGTAGGTGGTATGTTCATCAGTTGAAATCCAATGGATTTAGGTGAATCTGGTCCAATCCAACCATCAAATGGATGTTGGATTTTGTCATCTGATCCGATGCAATCCGATTAACATTGGACATCCGATCAAATCCAATCAAATGGATGATTAGATCGGTTTGGTTCCATTCACTAGATATCATTATTGGCTATTCGTTAGACCGGATTGAATCCATCTAATATTTTGATACAGTTTTCAACTAATTAATCAACATTTCAATCAATTATCCATATATTTTTTTAATTTATTAAAAACCACTGCGTAAATATCAACTAAAAAATAACGTAAACTGCTTATAATTATATATAATCAATAATTGGATGGTAGTTGGATGATGACTGGGTGGACAATTGGATCAGTTCAATTTTATTGGATCATGGTATGTCATCCAAGAACTGGCCAATCCAATTTAGATGTTGAAAATTTATACTCGATTCGATCCAATTACAATTAAATATCCGATTATGTTAAATTAAATCAGATGACTTTCTGCACATTCCTACTTTGAAGGCAGAGTTAGTTTATCATTCTCCTAATCAATCAAATATTACTCCGTCCTCCCAAAATAAATGTCTACAATTGAAACGACACACAGTTTTAAGCATGTATAATTATTACACTTTTTTTCTTGATCAAATGACATTTTTACCCATGTTTTATTTTTATCTATTCACAATTCTTAAATATTTATCTAATTATGTTTTAAATTTTCAAAAAATCCTAGTCGGTTGTGTTATTTTCCATTTTCTTAGCATACTATCGATTTATCAATTATTTAAATCAATTGAATTCATACTCCAAAACGATTGAATATATATATATATATATATATATATATGTGCATTATAACAAACCTGAACCTGACCGATCTCAACCTAAAACCCAACTAACCGAACACCAAATTCCGAACCCAAAATTTTAGGCTTAGTTTTCATATCGGAAATCATATCGAATTTTTGATTTACCCAACCGAACCATAGACCATGACAAAAATATGTTGCATTAAATAGATCCAAAGAAAATAAAATATTCAGTAAATTACATTTTTCATCCCTGTAGTTTATTAAAATTTGCTATTTTAGTCCCTGTGGTTTCAACGGTCGAATGATTTTTGCAGCCAAAAACATACTGGCCCTTGGTTAAATTTCCACTTTACTAATTTTGGATTTAATTCATACAAATCATCCCTAATTTAGCTCCGATTTTCCATACGATGGATCTCCGGTGACCTTCTCCAACTCCTTCAATCCTTCATCAACCTTCAATTATCCAGGTACAATGCCAATCGCATTTCCCTTTCACTTCACAATCTTCATTTTGTTGATAATTTTTATGGATAATTTGATCATATGTGATGATTCGTTTCACAATCCGAGCTAGGGTTTCGTTTTTTTAATATGTAAGTTTCAATTTCGTTTGCAATTTGTTCCGAATTGTTGTTTATGAATAGTGTTCATAATTTTTCTTACATTGCTTTGCAGCCTTTGACTCCTAAATATGGATTTCGATTGTCTCATTTGGGGCAATTTTGCCTCTTGAGATACACGAGCAAATTAAGCAACTCTTAGTGTGCTTGATTAAGTATATGTCATCTTGGGGGTAAGGGTTTTGGCTTTGTTAGCAATGGCTGCCACCAAGGGATTGATGGATCACTTGTTTATGGCTGCCTGCGAATGGTTTTTGATGTTTTGGGTGTTTATCGATGCGGCATTGGCTTCTTCTCTTACCAAATTTGCTCAGTATTGCGAATTACAAATTCCGTGCTTGTTGTGCTCGAGGTTTGATCACTTTTTTGGGAATGAAGAACCTGGATCGAATTTGAATCTGTTCTGCAATAAGCACCAAGCAGATATCTCGTATTTGATATACTGTGATCTTCATAATAAGCTTGTGGATGTTCGAGAAATGTGTGAAGATTGTTTGAGGTCGGTAACGATGCAAAGCCAATCTAATTTGGAATCTTTCAGGTTTGTGGTGGGTGCAATAGGGAGAGAAAAAGAAGGCTATCGAAGATCAAATAAGAACTTTGTTTGTGTGTCTTCTGGTATACGGACATGTTCATGTTGTCAACGACAATGGAGAGCAAAATCCAGTGGTCGAGCCATGGGTCAGCCGAATGTGGTTGGGTCAAGGGTTGGTAAAGCCACTACGAAACCTCCTTTGCCTCATGTTTCTAGACGTAATAGGTCTAGGCGGCCGGATAGTTTCAAGAAGATGAGGAATAAGATAAAGCATCGCCGTGTGGATCCTTTATTTCCTGTAGGATTCCCGGATTTCAAGTTTAATTCTGATTCAGAGTTTGAATTCATTTTCTCTGATGATGATGATGGGAGTTTCAAAGTGGTGGGCATTGGTGAAAAAAGTTTGAAAGATGATTCCGTCGTTGGAGGTAGCAAAAACGATGAGATTCAAAGTGGGATTCTTCGAAGGCGTGCATATAGTACTTCTGATCTACAATCTGCACTTCTAGAGGCACAACTTAAAGAAAGTCGAAGAATTCGTTCTGCATCTTTGACTCCCAATTGTCCAGTTGGGCATGGTTTAGCGGAATTGAACAAGAAACCGAATATTATGCAATTCCCTCGTAGAAAAACAAATGAGTTTGATCTTTCAAAAGTTCAGAGAGACAAGAAGCCATTATCATCAGATGGGAATGGATCATTGGATGGTAGTCAGGACCGATATAAGATTTTCACCAGGCATTCCTTTAGTGCTGCGGATTTGAGGTCTGCGCTTCTTCTAGAGATGCTTCTTGATAATAGTTTACCACGCCGCTCTGCATCTTTGACACCAAGTAGTTCATCTGGTCATGGTTTGGGAGAAGCTAATTTCCCAAAATCCCAAAGTAGGCCTACTTCAAAAGTCAAGAGATATAAGAAGTCACGTAAAACGACTACTGGGAAAGGATCTTTAGACGATTCTGTTGTCTCACGTAACACTGGTAGTCATAGTCACAATCAAAACAAGAATCCTCGAAGGCATTCATGCAGTGTTTTCCATATGGGGTGTGGAATTCTTCTAAATATGCCTGTTGATGAAAGTTTATCGAGTCGTTCTGCATCTTTGGCACCAAATGGTTCTATTGGCCATGGTTTGGAAGAACCAAAGAAGTCAAAATCCCAAAAAGGTGAGAAAGAAAACAATCCATTACCACCAACAGGCTCTATTAAAAGATCCGGTTCATCATCTGATGTTAGAAGTTACTTAGACAATACTAACGGGTATGAATCTTTGGATGATCCAATTGTTTCAACTAGAACCGGCGGTCAGGATCAAAACCAGATTCCTCGAAGGCATTCTTATAGTTCCTTCAATTTAGGGCGTGCAGTTCTTGTAGAGGTGCCTATAGGCCAAAGTCTAAGAAATCGTTCTGCATCTTTGACACCAAATGCTTCTATTGATTATGGTTTTGGAGAACCGAAGAGGTCGAAAAACCATGCTAGGCCTAACTCATCTCATTCACAAGAGCACAGATCTCTTAATCACGGAAAAACTAAGAGAGATAAGAAACAATTGCCATCAATGAACTCCATTAACAAGTTAAGTTCATCGCCTAATGTTAGAAGTGAGTTCTTGGCCACTTCTTTGGATGATTCTGTGATCTCATGCAATACAAATAATCGCTATAGAAACGTTAATCCTCGAAGGCATTCATACAGTGCGTTCGAGCTGGGGTGTGCCCTTCTTATGAATATGAATCTTGATGAAAGTTTAAAACATTGTTCTATATCTTTGGCACCAAATGGTTCTATTGATCATGGTTTGGAAGAACCAAGGAAGTCGAAATCCCAGAAAGATAACCCATTACCACCACATAGCTCAATTAAAAGGTTCAGCTCATCATCTGATGTTAAAAGTGATTCATCGACCACTTTTTCAGACAAGACTAAGAGGCATGGATCTTTGGATGATTCTGTTGTATCACATAGAACAAGTAGTCAGAACCAAAATGAGAC